ATCTTTTTTCCTCTTCTTTTCCTCAATGATGGAAATGCCGAAGTGCAGCCCAATCCAGCCTCCAGCTGAGTAGAGGCAAACGCCCGTAAGCTCGATTCGCGACAACCCATTGTCAAAAGGCTCGCTGGCGTCAAGCTATTCAGCCACACATTGCGCGCCCTTTCTTGCCCTCGTCAACGACGGAAATTTCCGCCGCACACCCTCTGTATTACACCAAAAGATCACATTCAACTTCTTTCATTTAAGCCCCAGCGCAAACCAGAGGCGGAAAGAAAAAAGTAAAACGCCTCAAAACGCCTCCATCTCGTTAGCGCCTCTATCTGTACATACATAGCTAGGGGTGCTAGGGGATCGACATCGTGATCGGCAGTCGTGGTGGCTGGTGAGGGTTCGTCAGTGCGGAATGTCACAACTGAGACGCTCCAAACATTTTTTCACGTCAAAGCCACGCCAATGGAACAACTAATGCAAACGCTTTCAAGTCAAAGAGAGAAAAGAAAAGAAAAGAAAAGAAGAGAAATTGAAACGTGTTTTGTTGTGCTTTGTTTTGCAACGCATGGTTGACAACAAGTTTGCGAATCGCTCTTGAACAATGTGTTATTGAGCCCTGACCGCCACCAGCCACTTTTAGTCAGCCCTCCCTCCAGCACTTGCTTGACAGCCTTTTTTTGGCCGCCAATTCGATAGTCTATCACGTCTACAAACAATAGTTTATTTAGTCTATGGCTTAATCGTGGTCGATGAGGAGAGGGGAAACAAGGCCGAGCGTTTTCCCCCCCACCACGGCTTTGCAACGATCACCCGACTGCTTGGCACGCATTCCACTGCAGATTCATGACATGACGCCTTTGTGGTTATCGAGCCTATTGAGGGAGGGTTGATTTGTCTGGGCGGCCGCAAATGTGATTCCTCAGTACGATTAGCCGCCACTAGTTTTCCTTTGATCAGGCATCATGCTTGCACGATTTGGCGTCGTGGCGTTGGCTAAAAAGAAAAAGCATTTGTTGGCATGTAATCAGTACATCATTCAGCAGCCACAAAAGCAATCGCAACACAGACACACCTCGAGATGCATGGACGTCGAGTTTCGCGATAATCAGGCCCGAGGGGGTGGGTAGGTGGGCTTTCCGCTTCCAACGACCGCTTCGCTTGTAATACGTACTCGGTAATTACTCGATTGTACAATTCCGATAAATCAGTTGCCAGCAGGGCCAGTATCGAGTATCGGAAGCTCAGTTGAAACCTGCATGCTGGCTGCACACTAGCTCAGCCCAACAGGGGACTGACTGATTGACAGAGTGCGTGCAGCAGCAGCAGCAGCAGCAGCAGCAGCTGCTGCTGCTGCTGCTGCTGCCATTTCCGTTTGCATAAGCATGTCTTGATGAAACATGGCACAACGAAGGAAGGGGGCCCCTTAACACGCGCCTCGTGACTCTATTCGTACTGGTGCATTTCATCTCAGTGCGAGTGCGCCATCTTGCAAGAACCCAAAACCACTCCTAGACATGCGACATGGCAGGCCCTTGTGTTTCGCGGGGTGGGTTCATCGCGTTCCCGAGGGAGGGGGTGGAATCGCGCTCGCGGCCTTCTAGAAGGTGGGATGCCTCGACACAATGCTATTGTGATTGGTGTGGTGTAGCGTACTGATTGTGCAGTGGTGTGGTGCGGTGTAATGTGGTCTGGTGTGGTGTATTTGTGTGCTGTCGCGGGCCGCCAACAATCTGCCTAAACGCAAGGGTAGGTAGGTAGCATCTCAGCAGAACAAGGTCCTCTTCCCTTTGCCGACTCATTCATCGACATATTCCTTGATCTCTTGACAGCCATTTCAGCACTTGTCCGCCATTTCACACAAAAAAAATGTCGTCTCCGCCACAAAACCCTCTTACCGCTGCCATCTCGGGCCTTTTTTTTGCACATCTACGATCCCATTAGCCGTGCAATAGCCGAACCGTGGAGATGGCGCGCCGCTGGTGGGGGTCCGCCGTGCATACAACGTACATGAACAAGGAAGGAAAAAAAAAATTGAACGATGGTGAGCACAAATGCGAGCGAGAATTGGCAATCTGCATGCAACCCCAAAAAAAAAAAAAAAGGTTGACGCCACCCAAAAAATGGCATATCACCGCTCGTTTGGATTCGCAGCACGTCGAGAGGGCGTGTGCGTGCATGCGTACGTGCGTGCGTGCGTTTTTTTACAAGTCACCACATGATTTACTTGCTCTTTGCTAGTCATATCTGCAAGGTCAATCATGTTACTATTCATTGATTGACATTGTGAAAAAAAGAAAGAAAAAAAAAAAAGAAAGAGGGCCTATGCTCCCTCCCGATGGGCTGGTTCCGTCAATAATATACCGAGTTTGTTATCAAAACGTCACACAACTCGACGGAATTCCTTATCCGTCGCCCACCATTCGGGTACAAAAGGCATAATACACAATTGGACAGAGACGGCAAAGAAAGAAAAGGCAAATGGACCCTGGTTCGTTTTCGGCACCGAGCTATCGGTTATCCCCCCCCCCCCCCCCTCGATTCCCTCGATTGTCCGATTTACTTTTTGATTCGGGTCGATGCTAGCAACCAAGGGGGCCTTTTTTCTTTTTCCCACACAAGCTGTCGCTTCTTTCTCCTTGCTCGCTCCGCTAACAATGCAGGTCATACATGTATGTGTACATACCCGCGGCGGGCAGACCAGCCTATAACTACGGGTAATAAGGGTTATCGAGCCAAAACCAGCAGCGGGCAATAACTTATAGGGGCCCAACATATATGATCGACCGCATTGTCTACTATTGGTTTCATTCGTGCAACTATATTTCGGCTTTTTCTTTTTAACCTTGTTGTTCTCTAATCTCCTCTTTTCAACTCTGCCTATTGTACTTAGTCAAGTTCCCGGCCAGCACATCACATCGCGTAGATACCCGACCCCCCTCTCTCTCCCTCCCACCCTCCCATTTTTTTTCTTCTTGACATGGCAGCGGGCCGCAAAAGCTATCCGCTTGACAACAGTTCAGAAAAAGCCACTTCTTTGGTTCCCACGGGCATGGTTGGCCTCCCCCCCCTGTCAGAGGACGTCTGTGTCCTGACGTGTTTTGCACCATCGTCGGGATCCTCCCCCCCCCTCCCTTCCCTTTTCCCCCCCTCTTCTTTGCGTCAACTTTTCGTGTACTCCGCTGTTGCTCTTTCTGTCGTCTTTTGAGAGAAAGTTTACTCATGACAGGCCTCCAGACGATTGATGGCACGTAACAGTTTGAGAAGCCAAGACCAGATCATTGGTTCCGTAGTCACTAATTCTTACAACGTCCCCCCTCCCCCATACAACTCTTCCCTATTTACCCCTCCCTCCCAAGATGGGAATGGCAATTGAATAGGAAACAACCCATCGTGCTTTTGTCATGCATGGGTACTATCAATGTTCGCAGAGAACAAGCCCACACACACTCTACCATCTCATTCGCAGAACTTGCTTGTTATCCACTCTGGCCGTCAAAGCGCAACACACAGCCGTTCCCGCCTGGCAATTACGCCCTCGAAACCCAATCTCATCAACGATAGATGCCATCAAACTAATCATCAGTAGAACTTGCCTTGCTCTCTGCATCAAGAAATGTAAACCTAATCCCCCATCTTCTACCCAACACGTGGACTGCTGAGTCTGCATCGGCAATCACCGCACAAACACATACAACACATACATGCATGCACACATGCACACATGCCGAATCAACGGGAGTCTCTCACTGGTTCAACCAATTTGTCGTTGTCGGTTCTGCATGCCATGACTCCAATGAGCAGATACAGCTCTTCCAACTCCAGACGCCCACCACCGTACGGGACCCCTCCCTCCTCTTGGCTGACCCTGATTCGTTGGCATCTCTTTTTCTGCTTTGGGGAGGGGACGCCTCCATTGCTTCTATTGACCGCACTTTCGCGCTCTGCTTCATGTTGCCATTGTTTCAAGTGCCCATATGGCTCCTTGCGCTTCTCCTCTTCTGCTTTTTCGTTTATTTATTCCTTTTTTGATTTTTATTTTTATTTTTTATAGTTTTAGGACACCCCACCACACGCTGTCAAAAGATGTTAAAAATAATCGAGATGGATTTGGATCCCCTGTTTCTTCTTCCCTCCCCTGGTCGCTTTTTTTCCATCATTTCTGCAATGTCGCCCTACAACGTTGTATCTATGCTACCTCGTTGTCGTTGTGGGCATCTTCCTGGCTGGTTGCTTGTCGGTCGGCTGGTTTCCGTACACGTACAGAAACCTTGTAGAGCACGTCATACTCGGACGACAGATATGTAGCCGGGTAGAACAAACTGCGTAAAAAAAGACCGGCAAGACAGACCGCTAAAAGAGACTGGGAAAACAAAAAGGTAGTATTCATGCTTTCTATGCAGAATATGAACTAAATGATTCAGTTCAAGTGATAAACTAGTATCTTGACAAAATCAATGCATGCTATTCCCATCCCAAAATGTATCTGCCGAAAAGCAACAGTTGTCAAAATAACTCCGATATCCTGTCTACATATTTGTAACCCATTGTCATGTCATAAGCACCGCTGGAGTTGCGCTCCAATGCCTGTGCAGTGTCTGTTGCGCCGTGTCAAAATCAAGAAAAAACAAGGCTTTGCCCCCCCCCCCCTCCAACCACAATGCATAAACACTCAAGACCATGTTTGTCTCTTTTGATGCAACCCCGTTCCCAAAGAAGCTTGGAAGTCCTGCCAAGTTCAAAAAAACTCCAAAAGTAATGTTACAATTCTAGGCGACCTTTTTGCGCACAGAGCTTTCCGTTTTTTTTTCTTCTTCTCAGAGGGTGGGCGAGTACTTGGCGTGGAGCGTTATCGGAGATGGTTACCGTGAGAGGCTGACGAAGCGTAGTCGCCATCTCTCAGTAGACAAGAGATTGCCTTGAGTAGAGCTGTTTGCGCCGCCAGTCATCCGCCAGTCATCCGCCCACTCAAACCTTTTTATTCCCATCTCTCTTCATGCCGTCATGGCAGTCTATCGGGAGAGGCAGGCCTCGCCACTCTTGGACAGTTGCGAGTTGTAGTAGACGTTGTACATGGGCCAGTCGCCTTGGGATGAGCCATGCTGAGGAGGCTGCTGGGACTGTTGCTGGTGTTGCTGGGACTGTTGCTGATGCTGCTGCTGCTGCATGTAGACGGAAGTAGGGACGCCCTGCATCTGCATGTTGTTCATGCGAAACTCATCGAGGGACTCGAGGCTATTGGAGGTGGGCATCATGGAGGTGGGCACGCTGGTCGGGATGTAGCCGGAGACGTAGTCATCGGCCGAGGACGAGGGGCTGGAGACGTTGGAGCTCATGTGCGAGGGCACACCGGCTGCCCACGAGTCGACACTGCTGCCGGACATGGCGACGTAGTGCTGGCCGTAGTCGGGCAGGGGGTTGTAGTCGGCCGAGCCGGCAAGGGGAGACATTCGGGGCGAGGGGGCGGTGGCGGCGTGCGGAGTGTGCTGCTGCTGCTCGTCGTAGCCGGCAGTGGCTGAGTAGGGCGACCCGGCCATGGACATGCCCATCGACTCGCGCAGGCGGCTGAGCTCGTCCTCGAGGGCCTTGTTGCGGCGCAGCAGGTCTTGCAGGGTGCGGTCGCGGTTCTGGTGGCTGCGTAGCTCCTCGAGCTCGCGCTCCAGGCGCTCAATGTGCTCCTTGGTGCGGGCGCGGATGGCGCGCTGCGCCTCGCGGTCGTTGGCGCGCTTGCGGGCCAGCTGCGACGGCGTAAGGGTCGAGACACTGCGGGTGCCTGTGAGAGAAGCAAGTGTCAGCTGTGACGTGTGGGGGAGAGACAGAGACAGAGGGACATACCCTTGCGCTTGGAGGACTTGGAGCTGGAAGATTCGTCTGAGAGGGGACGTCCCATTGATGTCGTGGTCGAAGGCATATTGAGTATGGCTGTGGTGTGTCTGTATCTGTGGCGGCGATTGGCGAAAAGCTAGAGGCAGCTTGTAGAGCAACGGCTGTTTGTTAGTGTTGTTGTTGTTGTTGTTGCTATTGGTGGCTTGTGTGCAACAGCAAAGCAAGTGGTATCAGCTGTTGAATGATAGCTGTGATTAAGTAAAACAAGTCAAGCTGATGTATTCTGGAAGCTGTGGAGAAAGGGTATCGCAAGGGGGATTTGCAGTGTAGAATTGAGTGATCATGAACAAGATCTCGGGAGCATGGGTTAAGGGCATCGCAGTTCCTTTATAAAAAGCTGCGTCTTCGGGCTGGATGGCGGGCATTGGAGTGAGAGAGAGAGAGAGAGAGGAGTGTGCGTTACGTGTGTGTGTGCTGAGTGCTCCCAGTCAAGCTCCACACCGGGGGGTGTGGCTTGAGGGGTGTGGCGTTCTGTTAGGGTGTGGTTTTGCCAGAGGCTCCACAGTGGATCATTGCAGAGGGGGTTGTCCTAGTGGAGCGGAGAGGGAAGGGGGGGCCTCTGTTCTGCTACCTGGCCCCGCTGTTTTCAGGGTGTGAGAGAGGGAGGGCCGTCAAAGTCTATGCACAGGCATCACAGGGAAAGAGAGTGAGAGAGTG